CTGGAGGCAGAGTCGGAGCCCTCCAACCATCTGCAGGGACTGGGTCAAAGGTACCAAGTATCATATGTGTCGACATCAAAGTTCTACACCACACTAGTAAATGGTTAGAAAATATGCTCTGTCTTCCTGACAAAGAAATATACCTTTATAACACAAAAGAAGGTACAGGTCAGGTTGAGGGTTTTATAGGATTGGGAGCTGGGAAAAACACCAGAGGACTGAATTATTATTGCATATTCTTGGACGTTCTGTTGTTGGGCCGGTGGTGTGGGGATGAAAAAGCAAAAACTATAAATCGAACTCTTAAATTAATATGCATTTGTACTAGACATTTTATCTTTCTTGCCTTCATTTTAGTAACATTGTATGTTATAATCCAGACCTCCCAGCCTCTGGCTTTCTGGAGATACAATTGAAATAAAAATTGTATATATTTAAGGTGTACAATGAGATGTGTGGATACATGTGTTCACTGTGAAATGATCATCACAACTAAGTTAATTAACTCACCCATCACCTCACATGTCACCTTTCCATTATCCGCGGGGTGAGAACACTCAGAAGCTTTTTCTTTTTTTTTTTTTAAAGATTTTATTTATTTATTCATGAGAGACAGAGAGAGAGAGAGGCAGAGACAGGCAGATGGAGAAGCTGGCCCCATGCAGGGAGCCCGACGTGGGACTCGATCCTGGGTCTCCAGGATCACACCCTGAGCTGAAGATGGCACTAAACCGCTGAGCCACCCGGGCTGCCCAGAAGCTTTCATTATACCATTTGTGCTCTATTGTCCGTTAGACCAGATCAGACAACATTTCTTGAGTCACTGTAACTCTTTGGTTTTCATTAATTTTAGTTTGAAGAAATTCTGCTCTGGTAAGAGGATGGCACCCGAAATTGTCAATAGGATTTTTTAAGCACTACTTAGATTAAAAAATAAGCAAGGTATTTTACCGATCACATTCAACTACTGTAATGGGGTCACATATAATAACAGAAAATATTACAAAATATTTCCATTTTATTATACAAATATCCCTTACAATATCATTTTCAACTGTCTGTTTGCAGCATCTGGAGCATATAGTATTTCTTGTTTTTTCAACTTTTTCAATTCTGGGATTGATAAGGGAACCTCCCTAAAAGTGGCCAGTGGATTCCCTTGTTCTGATATTCCTCAGGACAATATTTTGACCATGATGGCCAAAAAATAGTTTGTAAACAAGTTAGTTTGGCATTATTTGCATGTGAATCTTCTTTGTCATGCAAAATATTTTTTTGTTTCACTGTTTCTATTTCTATTTCATTGGAATGGCATTTTTGTGGCATATGTCACATGCATTTTCATTTGAGGAAAGCTGATTTCTGTAAAATCTGTAAAAATATTTGCGCCCCCTTGAAGCAAATTAGACAAACCTTTGATTTTTTTGGTAATGTCAATAATAGTAAGCAATAATGCAGACCAAATGACTATAGTGTAAATTCAAAATGAATTTTATTTTCTCATAAGACCACTGCTCACTTTTTTGAGGATGTTCTGTGTCTTTATTTAAATTTTCGGTTCAGTTCTTTTATCCTATCTAAACTAAATCTAATTACTTGAACAGCATTTTGTCAGCAGTTCTATTGAGTGTCCGAAAGTGGTTATAATGTGAAATGGTTATAATGTGATATGTGTTTCATCAAACATTCTATCTTTGAACAACAGCTCCATAAATGTTGCAGGTAATTTTTTTTTTGTTTGTTTCAAAAAAGGGGACATCGTTAGAGGCACAGTTGTAACCTATGTTGCCTAGTAACAAATTCAAGCTGCGTGCATTCTGTGGCACAAAAACACTCCTGGATTTTTGGTTAAAATTGCCATTCTCGTAGGCTTGCCCTCTTTCCTCACCTGTATGCCTCTACAGCTCAAGCTTCCATGCCTTCCAAGCAGAATGTATCCCTGGGGCCAGTGGCAGCACAGTGCACAAAACCTTCACTACACTTGGAGGTCACTGCAATCAAGGACATGACCTAAAAATAAGGGTGAAGCTTCTACTGGGGCCTGAACAGCATCGGTCACAGGGTGGATGTTTAGGATCATAGGCTACCAAGCCAGCACCAAGCATCGGATTTTGAGGGACGCAGATGCACAACGCTACTTCACACATGCATTGTTTTGCAGACTGTGACTGACATTCAGGGCCTGGTAAAGTGTAGGGTTAGGGGCAGGAGCAGGTTTAATCTGATACAAGCCGGTCGGGGCCTCTTCTTGGCCAACATTTGATTTTGGAAAATTCTTTCTCTTCAGTCTTTTGGTGCCTGCATCTCCTTGTGTCCAGATGCTCATTTTTCAAGTTTAGGCAGAAATGGAACCTCTTGGGCACCTGGGTGGCTCAGTGGTTGAGCATCTGCCTTTGGCTTCGGTCATGTTCCCGGGATCCTGAGATCGAGTCCCATATCAGACTCCCTGTGGGGAGCCTGGTTTTCCCTCTGCCTGTGTCTCTGCCTCTCTGTGTGTCTCTCATGAATAAATAAATAAAATCTTAAAAAAAAAAAAAATGGAACCTCTTCCCTGAAGTTCTCCCTGATATGGCCCTCACTCTATCTTACCCCAACTGGAAGAACACGCTTTCCTCTGATCTTGAGAGACACCTGGTGTGACTGTCTCTTGGGATCCCTTTAGGATAGAGGTGCTGCAAAGCATATTGTTATATGCTTAGTGGTTAAGACCATGGATCTGGATCCAGACTTACTGGACTTTGAATTCTAGCTCCTTTCCTTACCCTCTATGAGATCTGTGCCTCAGAATTTGGCACAGGAAATGGGAGTAAATAGCAGTACCTACTTCCTACAATTTGTGACATTTAAGTGAATAAAGAATTTAAAGCATTTTTTTCTGATGCCTGGCGTAAGGAAGCTCAATAATTGCTAGTGATCATTAGAATTGTCATATTCTCTCCGTCACATTCTTATTCACGATATGGTTTTATTCCTTCTAGAACTCCAGCAGTTCCTTTAAGTCTGTGACTATGATCAGTTTTTAATCATACAGAGTCTTGCAAATAGTATTCAAGATGTGTTCTCAAAGCAATGGTATCCCAACCTTCAAACAAGTCCAGGGCCCCCAGAGACAGAGGCTTTTTCAGACCTAGACTTTCTCTTCCCTAGTGTTATGAATTGTGTCCCCCACTCCAGAACTCCTGTGTTAAAATCCTAGCCCCCAGTACCTCCAAATGGGACTGTATACAGAGACAAAAACCTTTATTTAACAAGGTAGGTTAGGCAAAATGAGGCCATATGAATGCATCTGAATGCAATACGTCTGGTGTCCTGCTAAGGAGAGGAAATCAGGACCCAGACACAGCCAGAGGGAAGACCCTGGGAAGACAAAGGGAGAAGGCGGCATTTAAAAGCCAAGGAGAAAAAAAATAAAAATTAAAAAAAAATAAATAAAAGCCAAGGAGAGACTCTTAGAAGAAACCAACCCTGATGTTACCTTGGTCGTGGATTTCTAGCCTCCAGAAAGTAAATTTCTGTTGTTTAAACCATGGGGTCTGTGCGATTTTGTTATGGCAGCCTTAGCACATGAATATGTTCTGCTGCCCAATTCTCTCCCATTGTGAAAATGTTTTCTCCCTTCCATCTGAAATCCTTCAATATTTTGCCAGGTCCCTGCTTCCCAGATTGTGCCCAGGCATTATGACTGCCTGTGAGTCAGTGGTCCTTCTCCTCTGGGAGTCTTGTTGTTGTTATTTGTAAACATCTAACATGGACTTCTATGTTCTTAGGCCAGTATTTTTCAAAGCATGTTCCATGAGAGGGTCACTAGTGTTGCAGACAAAGGTGTTCCCGAAGTCATGGCCACTAGGCAATGTGGTGCTATTGATTAGGCTGATTAGGTGCCGCAGGACTCACAACACTGGAGATCTTCAAGAAGGGAAAGAGCGTGAGGCGTTCCCCAAACCCACATGGCCACAGAACCCCCTTTTCACTGAGCATCTCTCAGGACTATACCAATTGCATCCCATCTACACCACCTCAAATATACAACCCATAATGATGAGATTCCTTGGAAGGTGGTGACACATGGCTGAAAAAGATTGCAAATTTGTGAGTCAGGCCCCTCAAAGTACCCCACTGGGACATTATCGGGAATCGGGATAGTAAAGCTGGAGGGGACCTCAGATTATTTTGTCCAAGTTGAAAAAGAGGGAACCAACGCCCTAAGAGATTAGAGGGCTGCCCAAGGCCAGAGCCAAAGGGGAGTCATAATGCCCTAGGACTCATCTTTAGGAAAGTTGCTGCTCCATTAAATATGAGACTCCAAGTACTGGTGTTGGTTTTAAACTCAACCTTCTAGTGTTCTGGTGTCACCCTTTCTGATGAGGGGGAGAGGTACCTTCAGCCTGGGAACTTCCCTGTCCCCATGCTGGGCCTTTTCCTGATACCAGGCTCTGCTCTATCGTACTCACCCAAAACCCTGAAAAGTCCAGTGGCCCTACGTCTAGGTTCGGGGTCTGGCCTGGCTGATCAGTTCATGCCAGCATGAGAGAAAAAGCTCAGGCTTTGAAACTGGGTTCAAATCAGAACTGTCACTTAGTAACTGTGCGGAAACACACTGCAGAGCCTCTCTCTCCAAGGTGGGATCTATAACATACAGAGTGGCTGCGGCTGATTCGAAGAAATGGAGGGATGGGTTTTAGCACGGTGCCTGAACACATCAGGTCTTGTTAAATATTAGTTCCCATCTTTCCTCTGAAACAAGGGATCATTCAGTGAGACTATGAAATCCTGAAGAGCAGGAACTACCCGCCTGTATCTTGTCCAGTGTAAGTCAGTTGGTAAAGGTCATGCCCCCAGGAGAAAGCAAAACAAGCCATTAGTTTAGGATGCACTGACCTGCTTCCTATTCCCTATCTCCTTCCATTCTCTTTTGGGATGTTTCCTTAGTCACAAGTGTTCATGTGACCTTCCACAGATCCATGAGCCCTGGAATAAGACCAGGAATCAGGGCCAAGATGCTGGTTTGGAAGCAGTTTTAATGGAGATGGAAATGTTTATCAACTCAACACAGATACCCCAAAATACAAAGCAAAATATCATCTTCAGCTGCATAGCAAATATGGTTTAAGAATTTAACATCATTATTTGATCACAAGCGTAAATAGAAGTCACCATAAATAAATGTAAATTCATTGTACAAAAATCCCCAACAACTCTTAATACAAATATGGTACATTTGACAGTTTCTGAAACAATTTTTTTTAAAACTTTTTAAAACCTAAGATTTTTTTTTCCTGGTTCTTAGACACACACAAAAAATCAAATCAAAAGGTGGCAGGAATATCAGAGAGGAAAGAATATTAAACCTGTTTGGTATTCATAAATAAATGCTGCCAGCGAGTGAGGGAAATGAAATGTCTCTCCTTAAGGTGAAGACCTCAGTTTACCAGGGTCCAATCTCCTGAAGATAATAGGATTCTACCGAGGGGGTCAGATTCAGGTTTACGAATGCAGGACCTAGGGGCTGGCTGTTGAAAAAGCAATCCCATCAAACGGATGATCCAAATCTCCACAAAAGCAATGGTCAAGGATTTGGAATAAACTCTAGGATTTAATAGTTGGTCGCCTATCTGAAATACCCACTGTCCCCAGACAGGAGTGAAGATTCAGAACACTGGTGCTTAGAGACTTTAATGTGGTTTTGGAAGGCATGTTTGACCACGTGGCATAGACTCTCCCTTTCGCCTTTGGGACACATCTATGCTCATCAAGAGGAAAAAACAAAAAAATCAGAATAGGATAAGTGGCAAGTCCAGACAGGAGGCTGCCAGTTTCCACCCTGGGCGGTAGTTTTCCTACCCTACAAATATCTTCTTTCATGGCTCAGAGGGAATTCAAAGTCCAAGGTGGGGAGTGGAGAGACCCTCTATGGCAGTGGTCCTCAGATTTCCATGTGCAACACAACAACTGAGAGCGCTTGTGGGAAGTGCAGATCTCCCTGCTACTCTCAGAGATGCAAACTTAATTGGTTTGGGGTCAGGCCCAGAAATCCAATGTGCTCGTCTCAGGACATCCTGATGTAGGCTCTTGGAGCACACTTGGTGAGCCCCACTTGTCTCCTCCCCGGTAAGCAGAGTGTATCACACAACCCTCTCGCTATGGACTGTTTTTGCTCTTTCCATGGGGTTAAAATGGGCCATCTGACTAATGGTTATCATTTCCATTTATCTGCCCTGAGGGAGGGGATCAGTGCCGTTCTATTTTTCTCTCCTTTCTTTGCCTACCTGGGTTGGTGGAGAGATATTAAATGTCTCACTTTATATTTTCTTACAAGCTCAGGGTCACAGGCTCCCTTTGAAGAAGAGAAGCTCTGTAATGAGACATTCTGCAAAGACTTTTGGTTCAGAGAAATCGAAGTAGGTATGCCCCTGTGAGCAATGCCACATGCCTCAAAATCTAAGTTAAGGAACACTAAGGACGTTGAGAGCAAGAGATAAAACATCCCAAGGATCTTTCAGCTTCTAGGACGATGAAAGTCCCGATTCACCAACACAGGATTCCTTTTCTGGGAGTGTATCCTGGTATTAAAACCTCATTGACAAGTGTTACTTATATTCCTTACCTCCCTGACCCCAATATGCTTTGGGCTTCTGTTGAAATAACCTCTTAATAATTTCTTTCTAGTGGGAGTTTGCCTTGATGAGAGTCTGTGCAGAGAAGTGGTCCCTAATTTGGTCACCGGCTAGTGCTAAGGGCAGTACAGCTGAACCATTCGGTGCTGCATTCCCAGTGTCCAGCTACTCACGGTATTTGCTTGATGAATAAAAGAACCACTTCCTCATCAAGCTGCGATGGTCTAAGAGTTTTTTGTTCGGGGCTAGGGAATTCCTGGCTATGTCAATAAATACTGCTTCTGTACAGCAGGCCTGACCATCTTCCTACCCTAATTCCACTCAGTGAGATACAGCTGTGAATGCATTTCTGAGTTCTCCCTTGGAGCACCCTGAGAGGGGAGTGTGGTTTGGGGAGTTCATGGAAGGCCCAGAGCCAACACCATCTATCACGGTGCCAGTACCAGGAACCTTGTCTTTTGTCTTCCATGGCTCTCAGCGTCTGGTCCACTAGTACTGTTGGTGGTAAGGGGCCAGAGGAGGGGAAGAAGCCAAGAAATGGGGACACGCCTGTCAGGTCAGACTGATATCTTGAGGTATAGCCATGCTCTTGTCTCCAGCACTAAGACTTCCCTCCTGAGGTCACATGTGGGCACCAAGTAGGAGGTTATCATCTGGGAGGAGGTCTTGAGAAGCAACCACGGATGGGGGGGCAGGGCTGTGAGATGAAGAAGGGGTGAAACTAGGGCTCTTAACACAGCTGAGGGATAAAAAGAAAAGAAAAAGCACATACTGCCCTGTTTCTTTTCATTTTTTTTTTTTTTCATTTACGCTATGGAAAAACCACCATGGAGATGTCATGGGAGAGCATGCACAGGCCCAGCCCTTGGGAGGTGTAGATGTGTTTGGGGAGGTTCTTGTTTGCTTCCAGGCTTATCCCATGTGCTGTCCAGTCAGACCCTGCTGGCCCCTGCAGGCTGGCCATGGCTTCCTCTCTCCTGCTGCTTCTTCTCCTCCAGGTGAAGGATCTGCGGGACCTTCCACCTAGCAGGTGGTGGCCAGGGACTGGTGGATGGGTGGCTGGAAGCAACGCACATGCTCTACGGTGGAGCTGTCCGTCTCCACGGATTTCATGTACTTGTTCAGGATGGCAAAAACCTCATTGTTCAAGATCTGGTACTTCCTAATTCTGTCGGCCATCTTCTTCAGGGGCTGCAGATGGACAGGGATGTGCAGGTTAGGGGCAGGAGGAGGGGACAGAGAAATAAAAAGCAAGAGCAAGAGAATTCAGTGAGGTTGGGGTCCAGGGTCCTGATGCTTCAATGATCAGGATACTCTCTTGCTTACAGACCTTCTGTGGGTTTCCAGAGCTTAGCAATCAAATGTTAACTTGGCTATAAAACCTTTTGTCAGTTTCAAAATTTACTACAAGGCTACAATAATCAAAATAATATGGCACTGGCATGAAGACAGGCCTATAGATCAATGGAATAGACAGCTCAGAAATAAACTCTTCCATATATGGGCAAATGATGTTTAACAAGGGTGAACAAGGGTGCCAAAACCGTTCAACGGAGAAAGGACGGTGTTCTCAATAAACGGTGCTGGGAAAACTGGATATCCACATGCAAAAGAATGAAGCTGGATCCTTACTTTATATAATATACAATATAAAAAAACAAACTTCAAGGTGGTTTAAAGACCTAGACATAGGATCTACAACTATAAAACTCTTAGAAGAAAACAGAGAAAAATCTTCATGACATTGAATTTGGCAATGATTTCTTAAATTTTTTGTTTTGTTTTATTTATTTATGATAGGCACACAGTGAGAGAGAGAGAGAGAGGCAGAGACACAGGCAGAGGGAGAAGCAGGCTCCATATACCGGGAGCCCGACGTGGGACTCGATCCCGGGTCTCCAGGATCGCGCCCCGGGCCAAAGACAGGCGCCAAACCACTGCACCACCCAGGGATCCCGGCAATGATTTCTTAGACGTGACACCAAAAGCATAAGTAATAAAAGAAAACACAAACCACATCAAAATTGAAGACTTATCTGCATCAAAGGACACTATTAACAGAGTGAAAGGACAATCCCACAGAATGGGTGAAAATATCTGCAACTCAAATATTAAATAAGTGATTAATATCCAGAATATATAAAGAATTCTACAACTCAACAATAACAACAACAAAACAATCCAATTAAAAAGCAAACAAAGGACTTGAATGGACATTTCTCCAAAGAAAACAAACAGCCAATAAGCATGTGAAAAGTCGTTCAACATCACTAAATCATTAGTGAAATGGGAATTGAAATCAGAATGAGCTATGACTTCATATCCATTATGATGGCTATTATCAAAAACTCCAGAGAACACCAAATGCTAGGAGGGAGGTGGAAAAACTGGAACTCTTAGGCATTGCTGGTAGGAATGTAAAATGGTGCAGCCACTACTGAAAACAGTATGGCAGTTCCCCAAACATTAAAAATAGAATTAGCGTGTAATCCAGCAATTCCACTTGTAGGGAGATACCCAAAAGTACTGAGAGCAGGGGCTTGGACAAATATCTGTATACTCATGATCACAGGAGCATATTCACAATAGCCAAAAAGGGGAAGCAACTCAAGTGTTCACTGATGGATGAGTGGATAAACAAAATGTGGTGTATACGTACAATGGACATTATTCAGCCTTCAAAAGGAAGAAAACTGATACAAGCTACAGCATAGTGGACCTTGAACACATGATGCTAAGTGAAATAAGCCAGTCATGAAAGGGTAAATACTGTATGACTCCTCTAGATGAGGGACCTCGAGTCATCAAATCCTAGACACGGAAGGTGGAAGTTAGGGTTAGGTGGTTACCAGAGGTTGGGGAGGGGAGACTGGGGGTTCGTGTTTGGTGGGTGTAGTGTTTCACAGTTTGGGAAGCTGAGAAAGTTTTGGAGGTGAATAGTGGTGATGGCTGCATGACCGTGTGAGTGAACCTACTGCCACCACACTGTACACTTAACGATGGTTCAAATGCTTAGATATAGTTTACCATAATGGCCAAAGAACCCCTTTATGAGGAGGCTTCTGCTTCCTCCTCCTTTCGGCTGGTCCTAGGGACCCAACTCTTTGTTCCAGCCATACATCTTCATGTCTCTGGGCCTATGCTACAGCAAGCTGATCCTTCTTGTCTGGAATATCCTCCCCACCCTGCACCCCATGTTTTGCCTGGTTTATTGGCTGCTGGTCATTCTGGACTCAGTCTAAACATTGCCTCCATGGGAGGCCTTCTCTGACCACCCATTGCCTCAGCTCAGTGTAGACAGCCCTTTTCAATTGCCCCTACAGCAGCCCTGCTTACCCTATGATGATGCTTCTCCCATCCCTGTACCGGCACAACTTCTGTGTTCAGTGACAGTCTGTGTGGCTGCAGTGCCAGCATCAGCAGTCTGGCTGGCACAAGGCAGGGGTAATTCAGGTCTGGAGCCTGGCCCGGCCCTGCAGGGTGACCTGATTCATCCCAGCAGGTTATGAGCAAGTGACTCATGGCTTCCTACAAGAAGGTCCCGACTGCTGAGCATCTTTGTACCTACCTGTGGTGTGGGGACTTGGCCTCCATAAGCAGTTCACCGTCCTTCGCAGATGAAAGCCTGCTTGTCAGGCCTGGCCCCACTCCCCAGGCCCCAGCCCTTAGCTGCTTACCACATTCTTAATGACCTCATCCTTCCCATCTTGCCTCTGTACTTTTAGCAGGTGGTAACAGAAGTCAAACAGGTCAAAGCGACGCTGTTGTCCCAGCAGGACAATGATGGAGCAGCCAGCCCAGTTCAAACCGTCACCAAAACATTGCCTGGGAGTGAGGAGAGAAAGCAGCTGGAATGAAGGGCAGGGGAGGGTGGGGGAAGATCCTCATTTTGGGCCAGGAGTGTAGATAGTGAGCCAGCCAGTCCCTGGGTCAATCCTCTCAATCTGTAAAGTGGGTGCAAGGTAAGACCTGAGCATACATTTGCTTTGATCCAGGGACTATGGATATATTACAAGTCTCTCTAACCACAGAGAGGTGCCAGCCTGTCGGCCACTGATGATGTATACACTTGGAGGGAAAAAATTCAACCATTCCTTGAGATTTCTGTGGCTGATTCGAATTTGGATGAAAATCTGTCTCGCCTCTGTAAGGGAGCCAGAGGAATGCTTGTGAAGTGAAGGACCCTTTTAAACCTGCAGACCAAGCCTGTGGAGGCTGAGCGGGCAGGGACGGGCATGCTGTGTGGGTGAGCAGCTGCTGCTGGGCCGTGGGGGCTGCGAGTCCTCTGGGTCTGGGAAGCTCAGCCTGTGTGCCGCAAGCCCTCAACAGCATCCTGGGCAGGTCCAGAGGCTGCGGGGTCATCTCTCTGCTTTTTTTCTTATCCTCGAGCAGCAGCTGCAGCCCCCCTGGGCAGGCTTCCCTGCTTCCCCATCACTCTGGCTAGAAGCGCAGGCCCAGCAGCTGCTCTGGAAACAGCTTGCTCAGCCCAGCCCAGTTCCAACAGCACTTCCTCAGGGAAGCCTTCTCTGGCCTTACTCGCTCATTCTCAGGGGCTCTTGGCTCCTGGAGCAGAGACCTTGTCTGCCTTCTTTATTGCACTACTCTTGATGGGTAGCTGGGTGAGGGAAGGAAGAACTGGAATCTGCTTCTGTCTTTTCTGATGACAAGATTGGGTTCCTTTAGAAGGTTTCTTGGTTTTCAAGAGTAGAGGCCTCACAAGCCAGGCTAGTATGAGCAGTTAGGGCATGATGCTCTCCTGAGGAGGCACTTGTTGCTTTTCCTGGAATGTCCTCACCTCCTAAGAGCTGAATCCCAGGCAATGTTCAAGGCTCAGTTCTACTATGTCACTTACATTCCAATAACCCACTCAGCTCTCTTCTCAGGCACCTGTTGCCCTTCCTGCCTTTGCTGTATGAGGCCAGGAACCATCTACTTTTGCTCAGCACTGGTATCTGTCTGGCACCTGGCACAGAGTATGTATTCAATAAATAGTTGTCAGACAATCTGTCCTTGATCACTTTTCTGGTTGAGCCCTGGTAGCTTGGTGACTCTTGGTGGGGGGAGACATGGAAGCTGGGTGGTGACTCGTCATTCCCCGAGGGTACTCACTCAGCTGTGAACTCGTTGGTCCCCACGGGAATGCAGTAGACGAACTGCATGGCGCTCCAGAGCCGGTGGAACTCCACACACTCATCGACATGCATGACTCCATTGGTGGGCGGTGGGCCCCGCCAGATGGGGTCCTGCAGGTAGCTCCGAATGCGTGTCAGGATGACCTCAAACATGGACAGGCCACAGCACAACCGCTCTTTGGTCAGCAGGTCGCCCTCCCGAGCGATTGCGATTTGCTGGGAACAGAGAAGTACATAAATCTTCTATCCTCACCCCAGACCCCATCTTCCACCTCTCACCAGAGATTCCCATACCCTAGGGCTGGCTGTACCTGGACATCTCACCCAGAGCTGGGCACTAACTTTGTAGGTCCTAGTGCAGTAGCAGGGAGTCTTGTGATAAGACTTACTTGTGGTAAATAAAATCTAGGAGCCATCAGGGAGGAAGAGTCAAACTAAAAAAAATCCCAGTCTACCACATAATGAAATGCTATGTATCCACTGAAAAGATTGAGTCGTTCACACTTACTGAGAGTGTGTATAATACATCAGGCCCTGCTCTGAACTATTTATTCCTCATACCAACCCCAGGAAATACATGCCATCGGCATCCCCATTTTACTGATAAAGAAACTGAGGTTCAGAGTGGCAGCCAATGAGTGGTAAAAGCTGGGATTTACATCCTGACAGTCTAGATCTATGAATTAAATTGTTAAGTGAATAAAAAGCAAGTTTCAGAAAAGGATGTATGCTATAATCCTATTAAAAACATCAACAACAACCAGGAATGGGATCATACCCAAAAGACTTGCCATACATCAAAAACTTGGCACTGCCCAACCACCCAAGAAGGAGGACACAGTCGATTAACTTAATGTCCAAAAGGGAAAAATAAACCAGTTGCTCAGCATATATAAAAGTATTCCTGCAAAGAAAACAAAACAAAACAAAACAAAAAACAAAAAACCCCATCAACAACATGTCATCCACAGGCAAACAAACAAAACTATATGTGGGGTGTGTGTGTGTGTGTGTGTGTGTGTGTGTATAAACTAGTTTAGAAGGAAATGTCAACTGTGGAACAGATGGGCTTGGAGAAGCAGGCAAGATTTTCACTTTTTACTTTAAATATTCCTGTACAGTTGAATGTTCTACAATAAGCATATGTTAGTCTTTTAAAATTTGCCACTGATTTTACAGGATCATTTCCTCCCATTAGAAGTCCTCTGACCACTGTAAACTATCTCTATTAATAATTTAAACTGGCTTCACATCTGGGTCCTGGTTATTGCATAACTAATAATCAGCTCACTAGACAAGCACATCAAAACACATTACTGTCTGCATTATGAGTAAAAATGTCTGGGGGTGGAAGTCTCAAAACCATTTGCAAATAGTAGATAGATTTTAAAATTCTAAGTCAAAGTAAGGTCTCGAAAGCTAGGGACATGGCTAGAGGAGGCTGGCCTCTGAGACGGAGAGGCCCATAGGGCACTCATGGGGTCTGCTCTCCAGAGGGAAGTCTCTCCAGAGAGCTCATTTTATAGAGTACCTGGAGGAAGCCTACCTGACTTCTCCCTGTAAGGTCCCACTCTGGAACCCCTACAAGGAGTGCAACCTCTAAATTAATCCACAGGGGGAAATAAATCAGGAAACATAACCCTGGGGCGTGTTAGAAAAATGGGCCATGAGCTTAGTTGTCATGACAACCATAAACTGAAAGAAGTCTACGACAAAAAACGTGAATTAGGGAAGACAACATGTGTTTCAAGCATGAAGGAGAGGGAACCCTGGATTCATGGTGACTCATCTTGATTCCGTAGGCAGAGAAAGCTCCTGAGCAGAGATGAGACCACTCGAGTTGCCACAGTTGGCTAGAAATAGGTCTTAAAAAAAAATCCTGAACTTAGTACGTGATTCTGTTCTTACATTAGGCAACACTTTACGCTGGTATTTGGACCCTGAAAGGGCTCTCCACTCAGAGAGTGCCTGGTACAGAGAAGATGGTCAGTAGATAAATAAAGGACCCATATTGCTCTCAAGTCATGAATATTCTTCATAAATTAACACACAGACTTCTGGTTTACTAATTAATCTCCTGTGCATCTAGTTAGTCTGAATCAATCCCCAGGGCCTGACAACCATGGTGGGAACTAAAAATTAGCAACGGGGTTTATAAATCTACCGACAGACTTTGAACTCTGGTGACCAACCAAAAGGGCCCCTGATGGAAAACATTTAAGGGCTTTGCCCTTTCCTCAGAAAATCATTCACCCTTCAGTTTCTCCTGGGAACTGTAAAAGTAACACACAGTCACTTGGGTAAATATGGAAAACCACTTTCAAAGAAGTCATAAGAAAATAAAAATCTCCCATAAACCCCATTACCTAGGAATCAGGTTATCTTAAAATACCGATCTGTGATTTGTGTTAATGTAGTGTGTGTGTGTGTGTGTGTGTGTGTGTGTCTATATTTAATAGAATTTGGATCATATTGTCTATCTTTTTTTTTTCTCTTTGGATAGCAGCAGCTTACAAAACCATTTCCTTCAATATTTTCAGTAACATAATTTTTTAATGGTTACATAAAATGGCCACTGATAGATCACCATTTATTGAGTCTTCTACTCTTACTGGTTATTTTAAAGTGTATACAAGTTTCATTATTAGAGACAATTCTTAAGCAACCATCCTTATACATAACACTTGTCTCTGATCATTTTCTTAGGATAAAATCTCAGGAGTAGGACGCCACAGTGGAAGTGGGCACATATTTTAAAAGGCTTTTGCAACATAGTAGCCAACTGGACCAAAAGAAAGCTGCATCAAGTCTGCTCCTTGTACACTCTCGCTGTTGGCATTTATACTTTTTAGGGTGTCAGTTTTCTTCCATGTCCTTTTTCTTATGGATGTGTTTAACCTTTTTGGCTTGCTTTGAAAAAGCGTATTAATGACTATTTGCAGCAAAGGCCACCACTTTGAGACTTGGTGTGATGTACATATATATATTGTGTGTGTTTCACATAAATCTCATCCATTTCTTTTCTATTCTACTCAGCGAGGGGGGGGGATTTTTCTTCTTCTGCCATCCTTCTCTGAGTTAACAAGGGAATAGAAAAAGCATTGTGAAAATAAATGTGGAAATAAATTTCTGCACAGAATACTCTGATTACATTTAGTACCCTTTGGAGGAGAATGATACCTTGATAATCCTTTATATAATCCTTTGTGTTTTTTAAAAGTCTTTTACTTGTCCTTGTTTATCATAACATTCATGAAAGGCAGCTTCTTTTTTTAAAATTTTTTAAGATTTCATTTATTTATTCATGAGAGACACACAGAGAGAGTGGCAGAGACTCTCTCTCTCTCTGCAGAGGCAGAGGAAGAAGTAGGCTCCCTGTGGGGAGCCGGATCTGGGGTCTCCAGGATCAGCCCTGGGTTGAAGGCAGGTGCTCAACTGCTGAGCCACCCAGGCATCCCTCATAAAAGGCAGCTTAATGAAGGCCGCAAAGCATGTGTTAGCCCATTTCAAAGGTGGGGAGACAAAGGCTGAGACATTGTCTAACACCAGATTATGCATTGGTTCAAGTGGGAAGCTGGGATGAGGCTCCCTGCTTTCCATGATAGCACCTTAGCATGTCCCAGAAATAAATGCAAACAGTGCAACACCATTAAAACCTCTTGACTTTAAACATTTATTTGTCAAAACCTCCTCATCACAGACTTAGCTATTATGTGAGTCTCCTGAATCCCAGCTAGCTTGGAAGGTAATATTTCATTAGCTTTTCTTTGATCTCTGAGACAGCTAAATTTTGGGCTATTCCTTGAGGGCCGGGTGCCTTAGAAAACTGGTACTTCCTCTCCAGCAGAATGTCTAGGCTTTTGTTTGTTAAAGATTCGGCATTTGACAAATGGAGATTTCTATCAGTCCCAAGGAAATGGTGTTCACCAGAACAGGGAAGGAATTCACAGTCTTCTAAGTGGTAACACATGCCAAACCCTGGGTGCGAGAGGCCAGATTCTTGTAGGATGACACCAATAACAGAGCAGACACATTTATATGTCGCTCACTGGCTTGGGGGATTTCTCCCTAAAAGGAAATCTTTAGAGGACTCCTCTGTTCAGCCTCTCAAGGCCAAAAAAGAAAATGTGTGTACTCCACAGGATCTGAATTCTCCCTGTGGTGACTCAAAGAACCCAAATGCCACTGAACATTTAGTCACCATTTCCAGTAGGAGGTGGGTGGCACGCAGGTGGTCTGGCGAGGGTTGCTCATCAGCGTGACACCTGAGCAGACTGGGTCCTGAGATGTGCTCCAGATACTTGCCCTGATTTTTGAGAGAAGAGGCTGCCGTCTGCCCCCTGCTGAGGGTGTGAGTCCTTCAGACTCCTCAGCTTTTGTGATAAGAACAGAGAGGATCCCTGGAATGCAAGTCCAAGAGAAGATCTGAATCCTAAACCTTTTAAAAAGTTGGCAAAGGTGAATAAAACAGACAACCCCAGCTTGTCTCACCAGGATGCCCCAGTTCTCCTCCTTCAGAATTCCTCCCCCAGCCTCTCTACAATGTGCCAGTTACTCAAATCAGTTTGAAAGGAGCCAGCACATGCTTTTGTTGCCTCCCTCCTCTCTTCTCTTCTTTCCTGACTCTTGCCACAGTCTCTGAGTTATCTGAGGCAGGAGTCCTGCTCTACTCATCTCCATGTTCATAGCAACTGGTACTGGTTTGGAAAAGTTAATTTTATTTTCAAAGATTTTATTTTTATGTAATCTACACCCAATGTGTGGCTCGAATTCATGACCTTGAGATCAAGAGTCACATACTCGAATGACTCAGACAGCCAGGCACCTCTGTAAAACTTCATTTTAATTACAGAATTAACATATGAGCTTATTTGCTTTTGAAAATATTAGAACATTACAGATAAAGCTGAGGTCTCCTGTGGTCATCATTCTATCTCTGTCTCTTTCATCTCTCTTCAGAGAGTGTCGCCATTACAGACCATGAGTATGTCATGTTTTAGGAAAAGTTTCACTGAAAGGTTTTTGTTGTGTGCTTTCTTCCCCTGACCACGCACTTATGATCTGTCCACACTGTCGCACCTAGATCTCATCTTTCCTCTTCATTATTATGTAGCCAGTAGTCAGCATTCAGATAACTTTAAAACCTGCTATTTAGTCAAATAACAACCTCTACTGGTTGTTTCTCTCTCTTTTTTTTTTTTTATTTTAACAAACAATGCTATAGTAAACATCTGTGTTCCCGTAAATGTTTTTCTAGCAAAGATATACAGAAGTGAACTGCTGGTATTTGGGGTGTGTGGGGTTTTAATTCTCAGAGAGGATTTAGTAGAATTCCCAATACCTAACAGGAGCATATTAGATACTTGTCTGACTTCCTTGTTTCTTGGAATAATAGTTGATACAGGTGAGAAAAAAGAACTCAGGCCTGAGAAACAGCAAATCTCATTCCAGACGTGACCCTGCCACTAACAGGCTTTGTAGACATTCTTCCCCACTGTCTCTCTGGGCCTCAGTTTCCCTGCCTGTAAAATGAGGGGGTTGGACCAAATGCTTTCCCTTGAAAGTTCCTTTTGGTTCTCAGAGTCTGTGATGGAAGGATCATACCTGAGGGGTCCCCAGCCGCTCTATCAGTGGGACCAGGTGAAGCGGGGCATACTTGGCTTCCAGGCGTTTCATGCGGACCTCCAGACGCTCCCCTTCTGCAAAAGGAGCAGCAGAGCAGAAAATGAGATTCAGGGTGCCCTGGGGGAACTGAGAAAGGAAAAACTCTGAGAGGACCGGTGATGTATCTGTGTCCAAAACATGCATGGACTGTGTAGAACTGTTCTCCTTCATTCTAAAGTGTGATCAGAACTCATTATAAGGAAAAACATTCTGTTTTCTCTGTCCAGTGATAGATTATATATCCCTTGTGGGGTGGTGAGTTCCTCATCATTCAAAAGAGTTAAACCAAGGCTAGGCAGGAATGCACTAGGGATGATCTAGAAGCACCAAGAAATAAGGCTTGGAGTATCACTTCCAATTCTGCAATTCTGTGAATACTGAATAGCTGCCCAAAGCTTTATTTAACCTTTTGCCTTTCTGACTGCAGGTTTGAGTTTATTGGGATTAAGGGAGCATGAAGTTCAAATGCAAGTTGGCTATGTAGCTGTTGTTAGTGGTTTCTTACCTTTGATGTAGACTCTAGGTAAGATATTCTGGAAGGGTGCAGCATGGAGCAAATCACAGACTTCCTCCTGAGACTGCAAACAGAGATAGAAGAAAGAAAGGGAAAACAAGTCACATTTTAAACCACAAAGAATTTTCACTCCTAAAACCTTGAGCATGAGCACCGCAGTCAGCCAGGGTTCAAATTTTGGCTCTTCCTCTTATTAGCTATGGAACTTCAGGAAAGTTGCTTAATCTCTTTGAGCCTATTTATTTATCTGCAAAATGAGGGCCAGAACAGTACTTATTTAAGGAGTTTTTGTAAGGATTGCGTGAGAGAATGTGTAACCGTACAGCATAGTCCCTGGCACGTCAGGAGTGTGCAATACATTTTCATTATAATCTTATAAGGAATTTGTTGAGGATTTCAAATGAGTGACAGAGGAATTGAAGAGAAATGATGGGCCCCAGACTCTTTGTCTGTCTGGTTGGTTGTGAGGCTTGTAGGCTCAAAGCAGGTGGTGGGTCAATCTGCCAATCCACTGATGCAGATGATTCTGTGAAAAGCCTGTGTCTGTTTGGTTTTCTCCACACCAGACACCAGCTAGTGAGAAAAGAGAAACTAGAACCCAGGACAGATATGTTTTGATGGTGACTTGTTATGCATAGAAGTGAGCTTTAAAACAGCTTAAAAAAGAGGGGAAAGTCTGGGGAGGACAGACATGTAAGAGATGGTTTTAATGGGTTTGCTGTCCCGGGATCAGTTTACAATCACTGGATTTCAGAACAGAAGATGGGGTAAGGGGACCTAGAGAAGCCACCCTCCATGGCTCGTGGTTTCTCTTCTTTAAACTGCAGGGATTTGGATTAGGTAAGATCCAGGCTTCATTCAACTCTGGCACTCCTGGATCCTAAGCATGTGAGAAAATCAGGATTGTGAGTGCTCTTGGCTTTCCTCACCCAGGCATGGCTGGAATATGCCATCCTAGAAATCTGGAAGGCTGGCTGCTCAAGAGGGGAACCCCAAAACTCCTTTTATATTCTAGGTCAGTCCTTGAAATGAGGCTAGCAGAGAAAAGACAAGTGAACCCTTCGAAAGGACTGACCTGAGTGTAATTCTCAGTTTCTTAGCCAGAGGGGAAAATTTCCCTCTTTCTTAATTAAACTATTTCTCTCATAACCACTAAATCAAATAACCTAGTACTGATAGTTCTCAACTCAGGTCCTTGGATTCATCATATAATCTAAAATTTGGCTTATGGGTCATTCAGGCTACTCTTTAATTTACTATTTAACATTGTTTGACTTTTCAATGATGAACCAGCCTTGCATTCTGGGAATAAACCTCACTTGGTTGTGATGCATTATCCTTTTTATACATTGCTGGATTGTATTTGCTTATTTTTACTCTATATTCACGAGGGACACTGATTTGCTGTTTTCTTCTTAAATGCCTTTGATTTTGGCATTAGGATAATGCTGACCTTCTAAGACAAATTGGGAAGAAATCCCTTCTTTTCTGTATTCCGGAAGCAACTGTGCAGAATTGGGCACTTGAGTGCCCCAAGTCTAGAATTGGGGTTGGCGAAAGGACCCATGTCCTTGATAAAATTTCTTTAATAGACACACGACCATTCAGGTTACCATTTTTTTCTTGAGTAAGTATTGGGGGTTTGTATGTATCAAGGACATGGCTCCTGTCACCAATCCCATGCTCCAGATTGGATATCTAACTCCTTGCTGGATATCACTGCTTGGATATTCCACACCTCAACATTTCCAAAGCTGACCTCTTCCCTTTCTCCCTGGGGTTCCTCTGCTCCCAGAATGACATGATCATCTCCTTATCTGCCCAAGCCTAAAATCTGAGGCTCATTTTCTCTCTCTTCTTCACTTTCCAAGACCATTAAGTCCTCATATCTTTTGCTTCTTTCTATGTTCCTTCCCACTGACCACCACAATGCTCCGAACTCCTTAAGCATGAGGTGCTGTCTCTAGTTTTGCCTCTTCTCCCCACTGAGTATAACAGTTTCTCAATAACTGATTAATGAATGCATATTTGTTATCTCATATTTTCTTAGATGAATAAATTTGTTTAGCCACATAACCAACCTCCAAGTATGAGAATATCATTACATACACTCACCCAACAGATATTGGTTGAATGCCTGGCACTGTTCTAGGCTTTGCAGATATGATGTTGAACAAGTTAGACTAGATCTTTGCCCTCATGGAATTTATGTTCTGGTTGATAGAGACAGATAAAAACAAGCAAACAAATCAGAAAATTTCAGATAGTGATAAAAGAAAATAGGGTAAGAGTCTAGAGAGTGACTGGGCATGGGGAATGGACTGCTTGAGGAAGGGTGGTTAGGGAAAATCTTTCTGAGGGAGAGATATTTGAAAGAAGATGGAATGAAGTGAGAGAGCCAGCCATGCAGATATGAGGTAAGAGAGCATTCCAGTACAAAGGCCCTGGGGGAGAAGGTAAGCTGGACCATAGAGATACCATGCTGGGAATCACAGGAGTGGTATGAAGACTGGATTTTTCTGAAGTGCGATGAGGAACTATGTAGGTATTCTCAGCAGAGGATTGGTTACAATAGTTTCAACTGCCAAATTTTCCTCTTTCTTCTTCTCTTCCAAAAATTTCAGTTGCTCCTACAAATGTCTTCTTACTAGAAAATTTGCTCGTTCTTTTAATAATGAGAATAAAATTGACCTTGGGTACCACCTCAGGGGATGGAGGAGAGGAATGTTCTGGGTCCTCTACAACAGGAGCAATGTTACTGCTTTACTCATTTTACATGATGAGCTTCTCCAGATTTCTTTGGGAGGGACAAAAGTGTTCCATTTATCCCTCTCTATACATCCCCCTGTCCTCCAGTTAACAACTATAGGATCAGAGGTGCTTTGGGGCAAGTGGAGGCTTCCTTGTGGCATGCTTTCTGTGTGCTCTCTACCTCTTAATGCAATTTGCTAATGAAGGTGAGGAAAGACAGAAGGGTGTGTTTCCTAATAGAGGTGGGAAAGTGTCTGCCTGAAAGGTCCCAAAGGATGAGCTATGTGGTCATTTGCATAGTGAGGTGGCTACACACCTCGCAGCACCTTTTGGGGAAGGTATCTATTTGGCATTCCTTAGATGAGGTCATTGCAACTAATTAAAATGTCCAGTTTAGGGGACATAAAGTCTTATGTCAGGGAGGCAAACAAGCCTCCATTGTGGGTATCCATGCTAACGGTCAACCTCCTCCTTATCTAATATCTATCTTAAAGGATCCACACTTGGACTTCCACTGTGCCCCCGGAACCCTTGGCCTGTGAAGCGCCCTGAGTATGGGTTTCTTCTCCATTCACTCCCGGTTCCTTCTGCTCCAGCCATAACAGCTTTTGTTATTTGAATGCCCTATCTGTGCACCCATCATAGAGTTTTTTTTACCTTCTCTCTGGAATGCTCCCTAACCTATCTTTTGCCCACACTCTCTTTGCTCCATAAATTCCCACTCTCCTTTCAGAGAATTTCATCTTAATTCAACCATCATTCCTTCAAAGGAGACCTTCTTAACCCCCTCAAGAAAGGGGGGTCTGAGCCTGGGCACATTCCTTTGTCATGTGTCCTCAAAGAATCAAGTTCTTTTCAACACCTGAACTCAATTTATTTTATACTGTATACTTGCCTACCCATGACTGTTTGATTAACGTCTACCTCCCCCTACTGGAATTTAACCTTCATGAAGGTAGGGACAATGTCTTATTCTGACCGTATTTTATTCCCAATAGTTAGCACAGTGTCTCATAGATAGCAAATGCTCAGTAAGCACGTGCAAAAAAAGCTAAATGTTGGGACGCCTGGGTGGCTCAGTGGTTGAGTGTCTGCCTTTGGTTCAGGGCATGATCCTGGAGTCCCGGGATCGAGTCCCACATCGGGCTTCCTGCATGAAGCCTGCTTCTCCCTCTGCCTGTGTCCCTGCCTCTCTCTGTTATCTTTTATGAATGAATAAATAAAATCTTTAAAAAACAGTTGAATATCTGCAGCATATAAGGGAACTAAAACTTAGGACAGAGTCTCTCCTATTTGGGGTGTGGGCCCATATTATGCAGGCCTGCATGTTTCCTTTTATTACTAAGGAAAGTATTTTCTCTTCAGTTTTACTGATTACTCTATATAAATTATATGAAGCATTAATGTGTGGTGGGATTTTCAGGTGTCCTTAATTTTCTATCCCTCTCTCTTTATGTTTTTTCTTACTTGTATATATTTACTGAATTTTTTAAAAAAGATTTTATTTATTTGTTCATGAGAGACACATAGAGAGAGGTACAGACAGCAGAGGGAGAAGAAGCTCCCTGAGAGGAGCCTTATATGGGACTAGATCCCAGGACCCCAGGATCACAACCTGAGCCAAAGGCAGATGCTCAACCAATGAGCCACCCAAGTGCCCTATCTACTGAATTTTCTATATTGAACATATATTACTTAAATTAATTTGAAAAACCTCTGGAAGTACCTACTTTTTACCTTTAAAATATGGAGCTTTGAGGGTTTTGAACTGGAATTAGAAGGAAATGAAATCCTAGCATGCCACTTGATCTAGCAAGGAATAACATCTGTACAGACTTAACAATGTAAATAGTATATATTTTTGTTTTGTTTTGTTTTAAGCTACATTTAAGGACAGGTTACAGATGCAGAAGAAAATACAAGCGTTACAAAAATACAGCTTTGACCATATAATAGTAAAAGTGAAGCTGACGCGAGGTAAGAGGTGGAAGTGTTAGAAGTGGAAGTTGCGGGGTGTGTGTGTGTGTGTGTGTGTGTCTGTGTGTGTTAATTTCCTCATCTTGCACAGAAAGGAGTCAAGATACTAAATAATGTTACTAAAAGCAGCAATGGTGGTATAAGTATATTATCTCTGATTCCAAAGGAAGCAACAGAAGTAATAAGTAACATAATAAAATATTAAAGAGGAAGAGAGAGGACAGATTTAAATCAGCTAAAAATCTCATCTTTCCAACTAGGGAGTATAAGTATTGTCTACAGTTGCCAATTAAGAAATAGAAGCTATCCTATTATTAAGCAGCATTATGGTGAGAA